GTGAGAGATGATATAGAACGTATGGTACGGAAAGAGAAAAGTCTATAGAATTGCAATCTATTTACACCCATTGCCCTAATTTGCCTCAGCTTCGGTGAGATACATACCTTGTATTTGTATATAATATCATTGATTGATTATATTAAATTTTGGTTGACACATATTAAAAGCAATGCGGACGAGTTTAGTACCGTTGTGATACAAAAATGTAAACAAATACGTTATCAGGAAAACCGCATTGAAAGTGAATAGCGCAGCAACAACTCTGGTAAAAACCAGACGGAATTGCCAGACCGTGAATGTCGTACGCTCGACAGGTGGGACTTATTGGTAGAACGACGTTATTGTGATGTTGTACCACGAAATATATAAAACCCCAAACGATATACTGTAAGTGAATATACTTCTACTCAAATGAATATATTGGTGATCTAATAGCTAAGTTTATTTGATTGCGTAATCATAGTATAGTTACATAACAATCGGGCTTGCGCTGTTAAAACGACAATATGTTTGAGAAGGTACAAATGAATTGAGTTGTGTATGTGCCTCAATCAACTGATTGTTATTTGAAAAAATTTCAAAAATTACCATCCTATACATGTATCGTGAGCTAAAGATCTTGTATTCACTAACTTGTGATACATTGTCGCAACTTTCACTGTGAAATTCTACGGAATTGGAGGATCGAGATACTTACAATTTTGTCTAATCCACGTCACCGTAACGATAAAAATACGACACTTTCTAGATTTCACAATATTAACAATTAACGCAATAAGACAGGACTGAACGCAAAGCCCGAAGCATTGTCAACTATTGTCGCGTTCCGTGCAAATCAATGACTGTTCGGGTTACCATGGAAACACATGTTTTCGTTCGGTTGATGAATTGATTGGATTCAAACAGCCGTTGCGTTTCGTGCAAAATTGTCTTTATGCGCACGACAAATTATTTTTCCGTTCACCGCCCAGAAACGGAACAATGGGCCCGAATTGAACAAATTATGAATAGACACGGAACACTTGAAGGAATCAATCGGTAATACAACCGGTTTTGGGAGGCCGTATAAACCGGAATGGATGTGAAACCGCGAAGAACAAAATGCATTTGTGGTGAGCAAGCATAAAAGACTTTGTTCGATATGGGTTTCGTCATCCGAATTGCCTGGATTCGGATTGCGTTGCCTGTAGTAAAGTATGCAAATATAAAAGCGATTTGTCCAAAGGTTTGTAATTGCTAATAGTTCGATGGAACAAACCAGTGTTGGAATAAAGTTAAAAACTAATAGAGTCGAATAAGGAGCAAATTATTCTTTCTTATATTTTATTATAAATCGACGATAAACTGTCACATATTCTGCTACAACTTCCAAGGGATTGTACGTATTGCTTTATGTTTTAAACATGAATAGACAGAAATAGTTTCCGTACGTTTTGCAGAACTTATTCAGACCAAAATCTGAAATTATCAGGTACAATTTACAACAAACAAGAGTGGAGTTTGATTGGGTTGGATAAGGGAAACCTTCTTCTTTATGGACGTTAAATGAATACAGAATTATTGATTCCCGTGTAATCAAATACGCATTACATTTATCAAAGAAAATCGGTAAAAAACATTATAATAACATATATATAGTAAAATAACAAAATCAGAAATAATTACAGTTTTATTGTTGGCCGATAATTAGTAATATTCACCATGCCATGTTATATTTTTATCTTCGTAAAATAAAACGAGTTACAAAATATTTTAGGGTATATAATGTTCATCCGCAACAGAAAGCGGAACCATTATAAAATATTCACGTTTGCCTTTGTAACAATTTTTTTGCGTAAGTAAGTTGAAATGAAAGAACAGTTAAAAGTTTTAGTGTGATCACAGTCAAGATTTAACTACGTATTTATTTATGTATTTCTTTTTAATAAAACGTGTGTCCTTTGCAGTGATCGTTTGTAACGCAAACAAAGGCATTTGAAGAGAATGGCGCCCTCAAATACCCGAACAGCGTTGTTTGCAAAATGTTAGGAATGTTCAGGCCGTTTCTTAGAACAGAAACGGGCTCAGTTAAGCTTCGACGTGAGTTCTGGATCATTAGCTTTGAAGCAGGCAGCTATTGAACAGCAAAACGATGCAGTAAAAACTGTGCGGTCAATCCGGTCTCGTACAGTAGCAGACTTATGTCGAGGAATTACGTTACTATTTCACCAGGCAGATTTAAAATTGTAATTTGGAAATGTGTAGGTGAAATCATCGTTCTATATTTAGCGCCCTTAGTCATCGTCGAATGATGTACGGATAAACCGTGAACTCTTTCTTTTGTGCTACATTTTATTTATCAATCAAAAGTATGCCGCTAGCTTTTAATCGTCGGAAGTAATTGTAAATTAAATGTCACGTTACAGAGTAATTGCGGCTTGAAATATTTCACCATTACAACTCTGCTTCCAATTTCCTCGTTCGAAACGTCCGCTTAAAAAAATTAGCTTTGTGACAAATTCCGAACCATTGTGTTTGGGAAACGGAACGTTCAGTACAATAGTGTTCATAGGTACTGTTGATGTAGTAAAAAAATAAAATAATTTGTTAACTTCGTATGAAAAAATAGTATTTAACGTCGAAACAGATGTCAATCTAAATAGTACACTTTATTTTTTTTCTAACTCAATCTCGCACATCTCGCTAAGGAAAAAGGTCTTGACGCCATATTCGCGTGTCTTTACTTTTTGCTATTATTTTAGTGGTCAGAATGACCATACAAATTGATTGTTGACAACAACAAATTACTCTGTGAGGTCAAAACAAACTAACGCGGCTTAAATTGTTTAATTTTTTTTGTTAGGTTTTTTTGTGCGTCTACCTATATCAATTTGGCTATATATCTTATCTCTTCTTATCCTTTAAACGAGCAATTCTTGTATATATATATAATCTCGGAAACGGCTCCAGCGATTTTCATGAAATTAGTATGTGCATAGATTCGGGGGCGAAAAATCGATCTAGCTAGGTTTCATTTTTAGAAAATGTCTTTTTATCTCTGTTTTCAGGGAATGAAAAATATAATTCGAATATGACGGTAAATTTCGCCGCAAGAGAAAATGTCATAATAGCTCGGTCGGTAATCGGGCGGCCCCAAAACAGACGGCCGTGGTTCGCGTCGCGATCATTTACACATTTATTTTTTTACTTTTTTTTCGATTCCAGATCATTGCTTTCTTTATTTTTAATTTTTTGTCGATTTGTTATTTTTTTATTTCTTTCCCTTTTTTTTAAAGTTCTTTCTTTTGTGAAAAACATCAATTCATATTTTCTTATTATTACGTCGGTAAGATCGAAAAAAAATTATGCATATTTCATTACTCAGTAATTTGTGTCTAAATGTAATTTCCAAAATACAAGATTTACCAAAAAAAAAAAACAAACCGAGCAAAGCTCGGTCCTCCGGGTACTGGTAATTATATTACTTACATCACCCACTTTTTATGTGGTGATTTAAATGTAAATAGTTCTTGATGTCATTGTGTAATGATTTGAAATAACTCATAGAAACAGAATACAGATGCGTTTAGATCAGAGATGGTTGTCAGAAAGAGACAGACTACGCGTGCTATACTTGAATGAGATCAAAGGGGGCCATAAAGTGCAGCTACGATCAATACTGATTTTGTTTTTGCAAGGGAATCCTTCAGTTAAACACAATAGCGGTGGAAGAAATAAATAAATCAAGCGTTTGCTACGGACTCGAGAATTTTCCACAGACAGTGCACCGTTTATCAACTCGATTAGTTATAATTACTTAACAATAATGGCTCGTTTAAAAACTTCTTTCAAAATTCTTTTCATCTCAATCCCATATTCAGAAAAGGTATTCATCGTCTTTTAAATCTTACTAAACACTGGTTCATTGCATTTGGAAAATAAATGGAAGCTTATTTAAATAAATAATTCTATTTTCGACGCCACTTCTCAACCGCATCTATTACTTGCAAGCCAAGATCCATAGCGGCTATGAAGGAGAAGTATAACGTTTGTTCCTACGCTCGTCTAAACAAATGGTCAGAGAGTTAGGTCGCGGTGCGGTGGTCAGACACGGCCTGTCACGTACTTTGTAGTGAAGGCCGCATTCTTATTCAGGCATAACGTAACATAGGTAATTTTTAGTTTTTATGTCGTCAGACGACCGAACAAATCAATGTTACCCGTAATAAAAACTTCTAAGTAAGCGCGCGCAGGATGTTTTTCGAAATATCATCGTTTCTTATGTTTTAATGCTTATCGTTTGTTCAAAGATGCTAACGGTAAGATCTCAAGGAGGTCGATTAGATTAAACGTTAAACAAAAGAAACAGCGAAAATCTTTCAATAAAAGGTTTTGTGATACAATACAACAATGTTGGACAATATCTTTAAATATGGAAAAAAAGATGAGATAGGGATTTTTAATATTTTCAGAATATATGGTTATAATAACGCTTAAAAAGGGCCTAGGCGTATTATCGTTTTTATATTTAAACGACATATTGAACTTCAATTAACAGTATTGAAGTGAAATATTACACTAAAATATGTTTTTAAATGCAAGAAATTACGGACACCACCCACTTGACTTCAATAAACAAGTCATTCCAGAAAACAAAACGTAACGGAACACAAAGAAAATGACATTTATTTTATCCGAAACCGACGCCCATTGTTTGAGAATGGTAAAACTTGCGTCACAAACAATTGTAAATATGAAAAGAAACACTGACCACGGAAAAGATAGGCAAAAAGTTACCAAATTTGTCACTTTATGTTAAGAAAGGGTGCGCAGGCGGCGGAGGCAGCGCCGCGCCTGCAAGCCTCCGACTCTCCTATATGTGCACGCACCGCCCTCGGTAAATTCTTTGCATAAATAAACGAGAAAGCTCTGACCCACAATTAATCATATTTTTACACTCACTTCACGTAAACACATTGCACTTCATCCAAAAGAACGTATTAATATAACATCCTTACCTTACACTGCGCAGTAATGATGTTCTGACACGATCGATGAAGGAAAAACAAGTGAAAAAGTAGACACAGTCACGTTCGTGCGGATACGTCGAGAGTAATGGCGCCGGTTCGTTCCAACTTCAAACCCGTCGAGTGTTACTCACAGACTCGGAAGGCTAAGCCTTGTTTGCTTAGTGACGCGAGCTAGACGTTGCCATCTCTTTCTACCATGTATTAAAACGTACTGGGTAGAAAGTGATAAGTATAAGCTTATCTGTTATATCTTTTTACCTGTGGTGCAGCAACCTACATCACCGGTGCGCCTAACAATGTCATGTCTTGTGTTTGCTTCTCTCAAAAATGATGCAAAATATTTACTATTTGTCGTTTCGATTTGAGGTAAAATAGTTGCTATTTGCTATTTTATGCCTAGAACGAACGAACGTTCATGTTGATGTCCTAAAATATAAAGATATTATGTCATAGAGATAAAAATTGTAATGATGAAGCGTTTACATGAAGTTTTCCTACTCCAAGCATATGGGAATTATAATTATTACAGTATTTTTATTATCTTAGATAGCTAGAATTATATTTATATAACACGTTCAGAAATTTCAATGATCATAAATATTGTATGTTGCTTTATGTATATTTGTTATTTTCCAAATAACCAATTTAGAAAAACATTGATTTTGGAATAGTCCTAAGACTTAGAACTTATATTTTTTTTTAAAAACGCGTAGGATTAATCAAAAAAATATTTCATACTTTATTTTTTTTTTGTAGAACTAATTGTGCCATCTAGTTTTAGTAAGAGTTTTATACTTAATCTAATGTATAGTGACATCTATTGATTGTTTGGAACAACAATAAGTATTTAATTTATGCCACAAAACAAGTTACAGCAATGAAATACCGCGAGATGGCACTATTTTACATTATTCACATATTACCCTTTTAACGTATTATTATAAATTTTAATTAGTTTTTCATTGGTTACTAGTAAGTAGTGATATTCCGGATATACGGATATCCGGAATATCACTACATATCCGTACCCGCAGATATACGTCGGGAAAAAAGATCCGTATCCGTATCCGCAACATTTTTGACGGATCTTTTACAGATCTTTACCCTTATAATCGTAATTAAATCATAATTCTAACTAAATAAGTTAATACACTGTGACACTCGAAATGTTAACTTTAGATTAAAAACACAGTGTAGTTCACTTGGCAGCCCGAAGCGAGATAAGGTCGAAGCGAGACCTAACACTATTCTACAACCTGAGCATTTTTGTGGTACACTTTACTGAAAAACTATAACGCCTATAGATTTGTGTTTTAACATAGTAATTTAACTTCTAGTGTTAGCTGTAAAAAATATAATTTCACACCATAAAAAACATGAACATTAACAATTTGGTATGGATAGAATGTTATTGTAACGGCATCTGTTACAATACAAAAGAGTTATCATCGATGCAACAGAACTAAACTCAATACTCTAATACATCGCAGTTAATCTACTTAATACTAGAATAACACTAATAACCGCGTGGTTCCGGCTTAAGAATAGGACCACCCCGTCTCTTCCCATGGGTGTCGTAAAAGGCGACTAAGGGATTAAAGTTGTTGTGATGCGCGCAGCGACCAAACCCCGGAAGACCGAGTCTTCTCACCGGATGGACGGGGGGCTTGTCACGTGTTGGTGGACAAGTATAGTATGGATCCCTCCCGCATAGCGCATGAAGTCTGATTCGGTGAGAAAGGCGACCCACCGCAGATATGCAATGGGCTTGGTTTGCTCAGCGAATCATCAAGGCAAGGTGGATGGCCAAGGGCGACGTTTGAGGGGTTATAGTAACGTCGGCCAGACGCATCATCTAACCTCTTTAATCTAACCTCTCTTCAGTCGTAGCGGTTTTCCGTTCCACTGAATCAAAGAGCGGAAGGTCGAGGTCGCTTGCGCACCTTAATATATCCTGCGTATCTGACCGCGGTTATACTTTTTTCTGGAAAGGTACCGCTTGTTCAGAACCTCGATTTTCAGGTGTAGGATTTGCCATCAAGAATCACTTAGTTAAGTCACTTGAGGTGTACCCTGTACACATTTCGGACCGTGTGACCACCTTGCGCCTTCACCTGGGTAATGACAATTTCCTTAATGTCATCATTGTCTATGCTCCCACGCTGAACACGTCTGATGATATCAAGGACAAATTATATCATGAATTATCTCAATGCCTTGACAGCATAAGCTTCAGAGAGCAGGTCCTGTTGCTAGGAGATTTCAATGCAGTTGCATAATGGTCAGTTGCTACTCAGTTTTTGTGCTCAATACGAACTTGCAATAACGAACACAATGTTCAGACTTTTAGGCAAGCACAAGACTACGTGGATGCACCTAAGATCCAAACACTGGCATTTGATCGATTATGCTGTCAAGAAGAGATATCAGTCAAGTCTAAATCACCCGCGTCATGCGCGGCGCACATTGCTGGATTGATCACCGACTTATTGTCACTAAACTGCCACTCCGCCTCCGTAGACCACGTAGATTTCAAATAACAAGCCTGCGTCTTTGAACGTAGATTGGCTAAAAAACGCGAGTTCAGGGAGATCTATGCTGAAGCCTTATCTGGAAAGCTGTCGCCAGTGTTGGTGATGTCAACTCTGCTTGGGGTGCGTTGTCTTCTCATCTCATGGAGACTGCCTCAGTTACTTTAGGTGTGAAACACCGACGTAATGAAGTCTTCATTACGTCGGTGTCGGTTCGAATGACGAAGCTCTCAGAGCGGGGTTGGATAAGCACCGAGATCTTCTGCGACAGCATACTAGACGAGGAGGAAGCTTTGCGGTGCTCAAAGAGAGTGACACTCAATTGCGTAAGCTGTCTCGAAGATTAAAAGATAAGTGGTGGCAAGACAAAGCTTGTCATATCCAGTGGCTTGCTGACACAAACCAGCTTGGGGAGTTCTAAACCAAGTTACGTAAACTGATTAAAACATACTACCGAGTTAAAGTGCCCTTGAGGTCTTCAAACGGAACGCACTTAGTTACAAGCAAGGACGATGTATGGGCCGAACATTTTAATACATTGCTCAACGTAGATCGATTAGCGGATCTTCAGAATATCAGTTTGATGCCTCAACTTCCCTAGCCACTGAGCTGGACCAGCCCCTGTCGCGTGACGAGGTTGTAATTGCCATCAGACAGCAACAAAATCAACGGGCGGCTGGCATTGACCTTATACCAGGTAAGCTGCTTAAGTACGGTGGTGAGGAGTTGCGCAGTTTGGCGTGGGAACTATTTGTTCGTATGTGGGAGGAGGAACGTGTCCCGCATGATTTCAAAGTGTCGCGCATAATTGCACTCTATAAGAACAAGGGTGACCGGTCCGACTGCAGGTCCCACCGCGGTATTTCGCTTCTGTCAGCCTCCGGAAAGCAAGAGCCCTTTTAAACCGCGTGAATCTTTTATCGGAAAAGCTTTGCCTGAAACCCAGTTTGGCTTCCGGTCTGACCGAGGCACCTGTGAAGCTATCTTCTCTGTGCGCCAACTCCAAGAAAAAAGTAGAGCATAGGGACGTCAGCTATAACTCTGCTTTGTGGACTTAGAGAAAGCTTTCGGCAGTGTGCCTCGTGAATCTCTCTGGAAGGCTGGGGTGTACGGAAAAGTTTGTGAGGCTTCTGAGACTTCTGCATGACGATATGCAATGCTGCGTCTCCGTAGACGGTGAACAGTCAGATTTTTTCCCCGTCACCTGTGGAGTGAAACAAGGGCTCACACTGTTTGCCATTTATTTTGCAGTAGTAGTCAAAGAGGTCTTACAAACGGTTTTACGAAAGAGTTCGCATCCGCTTCCGAACAGATGGCAGTCTTTTCAACTTCTTTCAACAAATGCATTAATTACAGAGATTATGTATGCTGATGACTTATGCTTTTCAGCAGAATCTCCACAAGGCCTACAAAAGCTGATGTCTGTCTTCCACCAAGCATGCTGTAAGTTTGGTCTGAAGATTAGTGTCAAAAAGACGGTGGTGATGTCCTTGGACACACATGGTCGTGAGACACTGACCATTAAGCTTGGTGATGATGTGTTGAACCAGATCGATTTCAATATCTGGGTAGCACTATAAAATCTAACTACGACCTTGACGCTGAAATCAACAGCAGGATTAGTGCTGCAGCTGCTGCATTTGGTAAGCTGTAAGCTGCGATCTAAGGTCTTCTCCTCGCACGACCTTAAGCTGGCTAGAAAAATCTCGGTGTACATGGCGATTGTGCTGCCAAGCCTCTTATATTCCTCCGAGACATGGTGTGTGTATCGCCACCACATTCGTACCCTGGATCGGTTCCACCTTAAATGACTTCGTACCATCATGAAGATCAGATGGTACAACCGGGTGCGTAATACTGAAGTTTTGCGACGAGCCAATGTCGGTGGCATTGAGGCATATTTAATGCGTCGGCAGCTTCGGTGGTGCGGTCATGTATCACGTATGGCGGAGGAACGCAAAACGCATCTTTTACTCTGAACTAGAGGAGGGGAAGCGGAAACATGGCGGTCAACTCATCACATAAAAAAATGATAATTTCTTGTATTTACGCGATTACACATTATAAACGAAACTAATTTTACGGATTTATCGCGTTTATTTTTTAATTTTAATTACCGACGTTTCGAACCCTTTACAGCGTTCATGGTCACGGGATAGACTGAGGTGAATGAATGAATGAATCAAGGGACAGACTGAGGTGTTAGACGTCTGTTATGTCGAGCTCACACCAACTAAAACCCCCACGATGTTCCACTTAGGGGCATATCGGCAGTGTCACGGGAACGCTTCCGCACACTTCCGCGGCCCTGCCCACGTTGGCCGCCTCAGCAGCCCCCTCCCGGGGAGCAACTCCCCTCTCCACAGTTAAGGCGCGCTGGAACATTCAGCGCGCCTTCCTACTCGGCCCCATTTGCAAGGCCCACGAACTCCCCTGAGTTCGTTGACCGGGGCCATGGGAGCCCGGAGAGCAAGTGCTAATAAGCAGCAAGCCTCCCAGCTCCCGGCGGCGGAGAGTAGGGAGAACGGTGCATGGCAACACTCCTCTCCCTCCGCGGCCCCACCACCACTGCATCAGCGGTGCAGCTCCGCCGAGTCGCGGAAGATAGGCCAACGCAATATCGACACTCCTCTTCCCCCGCGACTCCCCCTCGGTAGCAGAAGTCAGGGAGAGTGCCTCCACCTCTACCAAAAAAATATAGAAAAAGTACGAAAAGATTGTCGCCGCTGTGGGAATCGAACCAACATTCGCGGTCATTCGCGGCCTGACGCTTTAACCACTAAGCTAAACGGCTGATTGCCTTACCGACGAAAATCTTAACATCTTTTATCTACTACATTGTTTTTTTAGCATTTGAAGTAATGCTTGGCGCATCCATTGTTATATCCTTTCCAGTATACAAACAAGAAGTGAATGAAGTGCTCCAGGTTACCCTCTTTAATATCTAATATACGGCAATACATTTGCCGCGTGACACGTTTTCGTAACATTAATCGTGGCCAAATTGGATTTATTTTATTTTATTTGCTACACAAAACAGCAAACAGTAATATACGCATCATAATAAAGTTTAATAATGTAAACAATTACATACTGTCAGCCAAAAATTGCATACACAACATGCTACGATATCATGGCCACAATGTTTTATCCTTTATTATTTGGAAGATTGTATAGTAGTTGAAGATTTAAGGCATGAACTGGTGATGATTATCATTGTGTAACAGTACCAGTGATGGTTCACTGGTACTTAGACAACGTAGCGATACACGACTGGTGTAACCGGTCAAGTCACCTAAGTTTGATAAATCACTGAAAACTGTGAACGTGACGATTTGCATTCCGGTAGTGTGGGATAAGCCACAGGGTATAAAGTGTTCTGAACGTGGCGATATGCATCCAAGTTGAGGGGGATAAGCCACAGGGTAAGGTGTTAATTTTATGAAAGTTACTTGTATCAGACTACAACGCCATTCGAGGACGAAGGCGTGATGCAGGACGGCCGAATGTTGGCGCTGGCAACGCTGTATACCTGATATGACGTTATCTACTCGAGCCAAGGGACACATGGTCGCATAGAGCAGCGGTCACTGAGATTTCGGCTGTGTTCCCGGACAGTGATATAACCACTAGTGCTACTTGGCGTTATAATAGTTGTTAATATTCAAGTTCAAATATAAGAATCAAGGTAAAAACGTTAGAACTCTTATAGAGATAAAGTAGTGTAGTGCACAAAGGCAGACAAATGCACGCTAGCCCACATGCTATAACATGGAATAATCAATATTTGAAGTATATCCTAAAGGATCAAATTTTGGATGACATGTTATTAAAAGTGGAAACAATTAGTTATTTTTTAGTTTAATAAATAAAAATGACGTACTTTAGCTTTAGTATTGATTTTAAGAATAGAATAGAACTGAATAAATGTATTATAATCCCAATTTGTAAGAGCAAAGTAAAGGCCCATTTACACGATGCCATTTTCTTGTACATGCAAGAGCAATAATTGAATGCAATAAATTGCGCGCAATAAATTGGTTAGACCATTTGTTGTTTAGACCATGCAACTTATTTATTGCTTCAATTTAATTGTATACAACAGGCAAGAAACTGGCACCGTGTAAATGGGCCTTAAGTATCTTCATCCTCATCCCACCTGGATGACTGACAACATGACAATAGGCA